CTTGCAGTCCCACTCTCTCCAATAAGCCTTTTATTTGTATCCTCTTAAGCTATTTTTCTGTAATCTTACAAATAGGCCCACCTAAGGTATTCACTTCCCCTATAAATGGGATCATTGGTCTGCAGTGTGCCTTTTTTCCCCTAATATATATAAATTGTGAGCATTTTACCAAGTATATGTTTATAACACTTTTAATGACTGCCTAGTATTCTGTGAATGGATACTGTTGTTAATTTATCCCCCCATTGATGGATTTAGCTTGTTTCCATTTATTACCATTATTAATTTTAGAGTAGAAATTGTTGAATGTATGTATTTTTAAAAAATAAACTTTATTGAGATTTAATTTATGTACAGTGAAATGCACACATTTTAAGTGTAGTTTGAGTTTTGACAAAAGTATAGACCCATTTAACTACCATCTCAATTAATATGTAGAACACTGTCATCACCTCAGAAAGCTTCCTCCTCGTCCTTGTCTTTCAATACCTAACCTCTTCCCCTTGTTCCCCCTTCCCCCACATCCCCCAACAAAACAATCACTGATCTGATTTCTACCACTGTAGAATAGTCAGACTCTTCTGAATCATTTCTTTTGTTCAAAATATTTTTGAGAGTGAACATATATTTTTTCACTAGAAATGGTAATTTTATAGGAAAGTTTTTAGGATAAGCAGTTTGTAATGTTCATAGGAGGCTTTCAAATTACATTTCCTAAAATATAAATATTTATAGCCATTTAAGAATGAAACGCGGTACATTGTTATTTTAATTTATATTTCTTTAGTGATTATGAAACTATGTATCATTTACCCATTTAAAATTAGATTGTCTTTTATCAATTTGATCTTGATGTTTAAAAGTAGTATTTTCTCTTTACAATGATTTAAATATGATCTTGATGAAAAAATTAATTGAACTAGATGACTGAATTTTATGGTATCCCAGTTCCCTTATGGTAAAATAATGTGTGTGAAAACATTTTTTCCAAGGTAAGTTCCAGTGTTATAATTCTGATTTATTGATTCTTTAACAGTTAAGGGAAGAAAGCAGGAGACTAGCTTTGGCTGCCAAAAGAGAGAAGAGAAAAGAGAAGAGAAGAAAGAAAAAGGAAGAACAAAGAAGAAAACTAGAAGAAATTGAAGCCAAAAATAAAGAGAACTTTGAACTCCAAGCTGCTCAAGAAAAAGAAAAGCATAAAGTTGAAGGTATTTTTTTCTAAATAACCATCTAATTTGTTTCATGTAATACATTTTATTAAAAATTATATTTCCTTGGTGGAGTGGGACTAGTGAATTAGTGAAGTGGACAAAGAAATACTAACTTCAAATTATAAAATCATTTAGCCACAGGGATAGAAGTATAGCATAGGGAACAGCTCATAACATTATAGTATCTTTGTATGGTGACAGGTGGTAACTACACTTATCATAGTGAGCATTTACTAATGCATATAATTCATGAATCACTAAGTTGTTCATTTCAAACTAGTACAGTAGTACATATAAATTAGATTCTAATTAAATAATGATCAAAAAATATATTTCCTTAATATCAGTAAGTTGAGGTAAAAATAGGTTTCTAAGTTACTAAGCACTTAAAGTATAAATATGCTATTTTCATTTATTAACTTCTCCCATGTTTTATATTATGAAGAATTTCAAAGCTATAGATAAATTGAAAGAATGATAAAACAAAATAGCTGAATATTCTGTACCTACTTCTTAAAAATAAACATTTTACCATATAAGGTTGCTTCCATTTCTTGGCTATTGTAAATAGTGCCGCGATAAACATAGGGATGCATCTCTTTTTCAAACTGGGCTGTGCAGACACATATGATGTAGCTTTTAGAATTTTAACTTCTATATGTATTCTTTCCTGAAATCCATCTGCCTGAGAAAGTATCGGTGTTTTATAGATTCTCCTTAACTCTTTCCCTTTTCAGGAACAACTTATTTATCTCTCGCCCAAGAGAATGCAATTTTGGTGCATTGCCCCAGGTTATAAAAACTTTCAAGGTTGACAAAACCTTTCAGGCCCCTACCAGGAATAATTTGAATAGGCAGAAGGAATGTCTAGCAAAAGACTTAAGAAATGGAATCAGACTTTTTCTGATGAAAAAGTAAGTCTGATCTGGAATATGAAATTGTCTTTGAGGTCTGGTTTCATTAGTTAGGACATTGTGACATTTTCCATAAACAGTATCATTGTTTTGACATATATATTTAAAATACACATAAAATATACAGAACAATAGATTATGGGCAGGGAATACATAATTTGAAAACTTTTTAGAGGACATGTAAACAAAGAGTTGAAGATAATTTTCCATTTTAGGAACCAAAGAAAAAAATTTAGTAGTTAAAATAGCTTATTAAGAGATGTTATTGGACTTTGAAACTTTTTTTTTATTATGAAAGAAATACTCATTTTAACAAATAGAAATGTCAGTTACATAAAGTAAACATTGAAAATCACCGTCTTTCTGCTACCCCTCTTGCAGTCCCACTCTCTCCAATAAGCCTTTTATTTGTATCCTCTTAAGCTATTTTTCTGTAATCTTACAAATAGGCCCACCTAAGGTATTCACTTCCCCTATAAATGGGATCATTGGTCTGCAGTGTGCCTTTTTTCCCCTAATATATATAAATTGTGAGCATTTTACCAAGTATATGTTTATAACACTTTTAATGACTGCCTAGTATTCTGTGAATGGATACTGTTGTTAATTTATCCCCCCATTGATGGATTTAGCTTGTTTCCATTTATTACCATTATTAATTTTAGAGTAGAAATTGTTGAATGTATGTATTTTTAAAAAATAAACTTTATTGAGATTTAATTTATGTACAGTGAAATGCACACATTTTAAGTGTAGTTTGAGTTTTGACAAAAGTATAGACCCATTTAACTACCATCTCAATTAATATGTAGAACACTGTCATCACCTCAGAAAGCTTCCTCCTCGTCCTTGTCTTTCAATACCTAACCTCTTCCCCTTGTTCCCCCTTCCCCCACATCCCCCAACAAAACAATCACTGATCTGATTTCTACCACTGTAGAATAGTCAGACTCTTCTGAATCATTTCTTTTGTTCAAAATATTTTTGAGAGTGAACATATATTTTTTCACTAGAAATGGTAATTTTATAGGAAAGTTTTTAGGATAAGCAGTTTGTAATGTTCATAGGAGGCTTTCAAATTACATTTCCTAAAATATAAATATTTATAGCCATTTAAGAATGAAACGCGGTACATTGTTATTTTAATTTATATTTCTTTAGTGATTATGAAACTATGTATCATTTACCCATTTAAAATTAGATTGTCTTTTATCAATTTGATCTTGATGTTTAAAAGTAGTATTTTCTCTTTACAATGATTTAAATATGATCTTGATGAAAAAATTAATTGAACTAGATGACTGAATTTTATGGTATCCCAGTTCCCTTATGGTAAAATAATGTGTGTGAAAACATTTTTTCCAAGGTAAGTTCCAGTGTTATAATTCTGATTTATTGATTCTTTAACAGTTAAGGGAAGAAAGCAGGAGACTAGCTTTGGCTGCCAAAAGAGAGAAGAGAAAAGAGAAGAGAAGAAAGAAAAAGGAAGAACAAAGAAGAAAACTAGAAGAAATTGAAGCCAAAAATAAAGAGAACTTTGAACTCCAAGCTGCTCAAGAAAAAGAAAAGCATAAAGTTGAAGGTATTTTTTTCTAAATAACCATCTAATTTGTTTCATGTAATACATTTTATTAAAAATTATATTTCCTTGGTGGAGTGGGACTAGTGAATTAGTGAAGTGGACAAAGAAATACTAACTTCAAATTATAAAATCATTTAGCCACAGGGATAGAAGTATAGCATAGGGAACAGCTCATAACATTATAGTATCTTTGTATGGTGACAGGTGGTAACTACACTTATCATAGTGAGCATTTACTAATGCATATAATTCATGAATCACTAAGTTGTTCATTTCAAACTAGTACAGTAGTACATATAAATTAGATTCTAATTAAATAATGATCAAAAAATATATTTCCTTAATATCAGTAAGTTGAGGTAAAAATAGGTTTCTAAGTTACTAAGCACTTAAAGTATAAATATGCTATTTTCATTTATTAACTTCTCCCATGTTTTATATTATGAAGAATTTCAAAGCTATAGATAAATTGAAAGAATGATAAAACAAAATAGCTGAATATTCTGTACCTACTTCTTAAAAATAAACATTTTACCATATTTGCTTTATCTTTTTCTCTCTAAATATGTATACATATTTTTTCTAAGCTGTCTGAAAGAAATCTGCAGACATCCTGACAGTGCACCTATAAACCTTCAGCTTACAATGGAGCTAGAGGGTATTATGCTGAGTGAAATAAGCCAGGTGGAGAAAGACAAGTATCAAATGATTTCACTCATCTGTGGAGTATAAGAACAAAGGAAAAACTGAAGGAACAAAACAGCAGCAGACTCACAGAACCCAAGAATGGACTAACAGTTACCAAAGGGAAAAGGACTGGGGAGAATGGGTGGGAAGGGAAGGATAAGGGGGAAAAAAAAGGGCATTATGATTAGCACACATAATGTAGTGGCGGGTGGGACACGGGAAAGGCAATATATACAGAGAAGACAAGTAGTGATTCTATAGCATCTTACTACACTGATGGACAGTGACTGTAATGGGGTATGTGGGGGAGACTTGATAACAGGGGGAGTCTAGTAACCATAATGTTATTTAAGTAATTGTACATTAATGATACCAAAATAAAAATATTTAAAAAAAATTCAGCTTACATTCTAAGAATGACATTTTCTTATATAATCCCAATACCATTTAAAATACCTAATAAAATTAACAGTTAACTCCATAATGTCATCTACAGTCCAGACCATATTCAGATTTTTCTCAAAGGAGGAAATTATTTTTAACTAGGTTTAGGTTCTAGCTAAAAGATTATTTGAGATAATGATATTATCGGGAGGAACCATTGGCACTAAACCACCAAATACATATGCTGTGTGTGTGTGTGTCTGTTAATTTCTTCCCCTCTAGGCTTTTATTTTGAAAAATTTCAAATGCAGAAATGTTTAAGGATTAGTATGCTAAACATCTGAATGTCACCTAGATTCTTTTAACATTTTGGTACATTTGTCTTAGTTATCTTTTTCCTCTCTTTTTGTGTGTATGTGTGTCGAGGAGGGGAGGGGACAGTTTACATATAAGCTGTATGCACTATGAGAAATCCCCCTAAACACTTGAGTGTATTATTTCCTAGAAAAAAACAGTATTTTACATAATCACAGTGACAATTATACTCAAGAAGTTTAATAATTATATATGTAATATACATATTACATACATATTTCCCAATTTGTCCCCAAAATACTCTTTAATAACTGCCTACTATGTACTGTTTAGGACTTAGGAACAAATTGGAGAATAGATCAATCATTTCCATCTGATTATTGAATGCTGGAATGACCAATGACTTTATGTCGTGGGTTTATTTTTCTTCATGTGCTTAAAGCTAAATATATTCTAGGGCTTGCTAATTCAGTATTACTACTTTTGCAGACGAGCCTGAAGTTTTGACAGAGCCTCCAAGTGCCACAACCACTACTACCATAGGTATATCTGCAACCTGGACAACTTTGGCAGGTTCCCATGGTAAAAGAAATAATACCATAACTACAACCAGTTCAAAAAGGAAAAACAGGAAAAATAAAATTACTCCGGAAAATGTTCAAATTATATTTGATGATCCACTACCAATCTCATATAGTCAGCCAGAGAAAGTAAATGGAGAGTCCAAGAGCAGCAGTACCAGCGAGAGTGGGGATAGTGATAACATGAGGATTTCCAGCTGCAGTGATGAAAGTAGTAACAGCAACAGCAGCCGAAAGAGTGACAATCATTCACCTGCTGTGGTCAGTACCTCTGTGACGAGCAAGAAGCAGCCATCTGTTCTGGTTACATTTCCAAAGGAGGAGAGAAAATCTGTTTCTGGCAAGACTTCAACAAAGTTAGTTCCAGTTTTCAGTTTTACTACTTATCATCATGAAAATCCTTGTGGCTGAATTTTTAGGAAAGCAAGCACATTAACAACTGGCACAATAAGGATTTGTCTTTGTGCTAAAGGCACAATTTCATTTGAAGAATAAGCTATTTTTGAAATTTTGTATTAATGAGAGAGAAAATAATTTTTACTATGTAATTTCTTCAGGTTGGTTGTTAAATTTAACCCAAAAAAGTATTGATTATGGTTTCTCAGGGATTATTATTGTAATTCAACTCTGCTAAATTTGACCTCTAAATAATATCAAAATGGCTCTTCATGTTATACCAAGTATTGAAAGGTGAAAAATAAGTTCCTCATTTGTTCACCATATTTATTCAAAAAATAAATAAAATTATGTAGTAGATTGCCTTTATCATTTTAAATTTCTACATCTGTTGTATATTTAATGGACTTTTCCTTCCTCTCTGTTAAAGACTGTCAGAAACTGTCAGTGAAGTGACCAGTAATTCTCTGTCCACTTGCACAAAGTCTGGTCCATCTCCCCTTTCCTCTCCCAATGGGAAGTTAACAGTAGCAAGTCCTAAGCGTGGTCAAAAGAGGGAAGAAGGATGGAAGGAAGTTGTAAGAAGGTGAGAGAGTTTCTTTGGTTATTTTCCTCATTCCTTTTATGTGCTCTGTTTCATAGTAAAGTGTGGTTTATCTTACAGTTAAATTCCACAGACTATTCCAAAGGCTGAATCTAGCCAACAGAGACCTACACTATATTTTAAATGAAAAAAGTATAGTTAATGCTTTTTAAATTGGAAGATTCTGCATAAAAAGTTAGATGATTATGGTATCTGTCTGATTCCCCATAGGTATTGACACTTGGTAGAGAACTAATTTAAGTTCTTTAAGATGATACATTGTGTCTTGTTCAACTTTGTAATTCAGAACTCAGTATATAGTCTCTATTACTGACTTATAAATATTTGAACAATGAGTAAGTGTTGGTTTTACATTATTCTTGTCTTTAAAGCATAGGATACCTTTATTTTAAGAATTTTAGAACTAAAGTATTGTGCTTGGGATTTTAAAAATAGTTGTAAAAGTAAAACAGCATCCCAGAAACTGAAAAGAATGAAGATACCACAAGCACAGAAAGGATTTGATCCCTCATAAATCTTTGATAACCTATTTTAAAGACCTTCCCAGAAATACCATTAGAAAATTAAATTTTTGATTATTTGAAATAAAAGCTGTAATGAACCAAAGTTATTACTCTCAGTCCCAAAATGCACTGTACACTTTTTTCGTATTTTGAACCACAGCTTCCCCCTAACCCCATCTCTATCTTTCTCTTTGTCTCTCACACACATTCTGTTAAACTAACGGAAATCATAACATCAGAGTACTCTCTGTATTAAAGTAAGTTTCTGCATTCCTTTTATATTATGGTATACAAAAGAAATTCTTAACTAATTTGAAAATAATGACTTGTCAGAAATTGATCCTTTCCTGAATCTGAATGTCTAAAATTACAATGTAATTTTGCAAGTATTAGATGAGTTTTGCTTTCTTAAAATTCCAGTGGGCTTTTCCCTTTCCTCATACTGCTAAACATTCTTTAAAGAATTTCTATATTTGAGGATAATCATTTTATGTCTCTTGAAGCATGCAGGGAAACCATTTTTAATATGATCCTTTCAGTTAGTATGTTAGAGAATAAAAAGAAGAATGTGAGTCAAACACCTGCCCACAAGATGCCTTTCCTGACTCTCTGGATTGCATTAGATGTGTCTTTGTGATACCCTGTTGAGCACTCATGGCATGGTCTTGTCGTTATCTTACATTGTGTTTCCATAGTCAGTTTATGTGGGCAGGAACCAATGTCTGTCATTTGCTGTTAGTATTTGCATTAATGAAGGTTGAAAGTCAAAAAAGCAAACAATCTTTGGTAATGAGATAAGAAGCTGCTATAGAGCTTTATCTTTCTCTTTTTTCTCTGTCTGTTTTGCTCTTTCATTCTCAGTTGTCTTTTATCATCTAGAGAGAATAGATCAAGGAGGCCTATTCAACAATAACCTATTCTGTATTTACAGAAACATAGCTATCTTCACTCTTACCTTAGAACCACTGATACTAGTGATTTATCTTAATTTATCTTTGCAACTTTTAAACAGGTCAAAGAAAGTATCTGTTCCATCAACTGTGATATCCAGAGTGATTGGAAGAGGAGGCTGTAATATTAATGCTATTCGGGAGTTCACTGGTGCACACATAGATATTGATAAACAAAAAGACAAGACGGGAGACCGGATAATAACCATAAGGCAAAACTTCGTCTCTTATGTTTTCTTCCCTTTGTGTTTTATTACACCATAGCTTAATGAAATATAAGCATTGGAGTTTTCAATTAAACTTCGTGTCTAATAGCATACTTTTTAAATGGCAGTTTGAAGAGTGTTTAAGAAGATAATCTTTACAATTCTTTCTCTAATTTATATGCTCTTGTGAAGTCTTTCAAAGAGCTGTAAAGGAATTTTTCTTTCGTGTGTGTGTGTGTGTGTGGCACAGGTTTAGATAACCTTTCCTTAACATAAATTGTTCATATGATATTCTTAAAAATTAATCTGAGACTTTGTAAGAAAGATTGTTTTTAAGCAGTAGTAGGTTTCCATCTTTCTTAACATTTGAAATTTGTTATTCTTAGATTGTGTCCTTAGAATATGAAGTCAGTAATACATTTAAATTTGATGTGGATATTTGTCTTGAATATGTTTGTGCCTGAATATCTTTAGCATAAAGATGATATTCCAATAAATCATAAGCTTGATTGTGAGAGGCAGATACCCCTTTGTAGTAAAAGAAAGGCTGTTATATAGCCTGTCTCAAAAGGAGAAAGGCAATTAGCCATCTCGATTTTGTACGTATCCTCCTCCTATTTTATTTTTCCCTCTCCTGGGATAGGAGGGTAGTCAGAACCTGCCTTATGTAGAGAAAAGGGAAGCAAATCCCCTTTATGAGTAATCTCCCCCTTAGGGTTCCCATAAGGTTTTCCCTAAAATCAATTATCTTCCTGAAAATCCAACGCTTAAGTTTTGACATTATGGTCCTTGTTGGCATTATCAGTATTCCTCTCCCATTTCGAGACATTTTTCCAATGTAATTAAATAATCATTCTAATAGAGAAACCACTAATAAATATGTCATAGATGAGGTCAACTTAGGTACCAGTATTTAAAATAAAATACTATTTTTTTACTCAGTTGTATCATTACCTTGTTTACTTAATTGATTTTTTAGTAGTGATCAACTGTTTATCTTTACACTAACATTATGGTTTATCTAGGTTTTTAAGTGCAGTGGTTTTTCTACCTGTAGTGTATTTTACAGTAGGAAAGTGATTTCTTAGTCTAAGGAAACAATAATAAATAAATTTTTGGAAAATAAACCACTTCCTATTCCTTTGAAAAATACAGTAACATGTCAGGACAGTTTATTGCTGTGTTGCAGAATACATCAAGAGTAGTCAGAAAATTACTGCTTAAATTTTGTTAATCTATATTCTCTGTACATATACATGCACACACACAACACACAAATGAATTTAGGATTTTATTAAAAAGTAGGGAAAATTGAACCTAATTTTTTTTTTTATCAACTAACAGGGGTGGCACTGAATCAACAAGACAAGCAACTCAGTTGATCAATGCTTTGATTAAGGATCCAGACAAAGAAATTGATGAACTTATTCCAAAGAATCGTTTGAAAAGTTCTTCAGCAAATTCCAAAATAGGGTCATCAGCACCTGCCACCACTGCTGCTAACAGTTCCTTAATGGGAATTAAAATGACGACTGTAGCTCTGTCATCAACATCTCAAACTGCCACAGCACTCACTGTGCCTGCAATTTCTTCTGCATCTACTCACAAAACCATTAAGAACCCAGTGAATAATGTAAGGCCTGGTTTTCCAGTTTCTCTTCCATTAGCATATCCTCCTCCACAGTTTGCACATGCTTTGCTTGCTGCTCAGACTTTCCAGCAGATTCGTCCACCAAGGTTGCCCATGACCCACTTTGGAGGTACTTTTCCACCAGCTCAATCCACTTGGGGTCCTTTTCCTGTCAGGCCTTTGAGCCCTGCCAGAGCTACTAACTCACCTAAGCCTCACATGGTGCCTCGCCATAGCAATCAGAATAGCAGTGGTTCTCAGGTGAATTCAGCAGGTTCTTTAACTTCAAGTCCAACTACTACGGCCAGTTCATCAGCTTCAACGGTGCCTGGTACATCTACAAATGGCAGCCCTAGTTCACCTTCTGTCAGAAGGCAGCTGTTTGTCACAGTTGTGAAGACGTCCAATGCCACCACCACCACAGTCACAACCACAGCGAGCAACAATAGCACTGCGCCCACAAATGCCACGTACCCTATGCCTACTGCCAAAGAACACTACCCAGGATCATCCCCATCTTCCCCTTCACCGCCTGCCCAGCCAGGAGGGGTTTCTAGAAACAGCCCTTTGGATTGTGGAACAGTATCTCCAAGTAAAGGGGCATCTTCCTCTGAACAGGAAGCAAGTAGTCCACCAGTAGTAGAAACAGCAAACAGCAGATCTCCAAACAGCAGCAGTTCTTCTGGGAGTTCATCAGTTCATTCTACTCAGCCACAGCCTCCGGGATCTGTTTCTCAGGAGCCAAGACCACCTCTGCAGCAGTCTCAGGTTCCTCCCCCGGAAGTTAGAATGACTGTTCCTCCTTTGGCAACAAGTTCTGCTCCAGTGGCGGTGCCTTCTACTGCTCCAGTGACTTACCCTATGCCTCAGACACAAATGGGATGCTCACATACTGCTCCTAAAATGGAAACCCCTGCTCTTAGACCATCCTCTCATGGCACAACTGCCTCTCACAAGAGTCCAGCTCCAGTGCAAAATTCCTCTGTTGCAGTCCTCAGTGTCAATCACATTAAAAGACCTCACAGTGTTCCCTCTTCTGTCCAGCTACCTTCAACCTTAAGTACACAAAGTGCTTGTCAAAATTCAGTACATCCAACAAATAAGCCTATTGCTCCCAATTTCAGCACCCCCTTACCATTTGGGCCCTTTAGCACATTGTTTGAAAACAGCCCTACTTCTGCTCATGCCTTCTGGGGAGGATCTGTTGTTTCATCTCAGTCAACACCAGAATCTATGCTATCAGGAAAATCCTCCTATTTGCCAAATTCAGATCCTTTACATCAGTCTGAGACTTCCAAAGCTCCAGGTTTCAGACCACCATTACAGAGACCCACTCCAAGTCCCTCAGGTGAGTTTGTATGTTCTGACATTCTGCAGCCGCTCATTACAAAGTGATATGAGAACTCTTGGTCATTTTCTAATATTTTTGCTGTCTGACTGGGCCAGATGGGGACAGAAATTATTGTATTCAGTTAACTAAAATGCTGTTGTATTAGATGTTTAGTATGGGGTTATTATTTTCTTTAATCTTTTTAGAAGCTACAGTGGATATTATCTTGAATTTCCATAAATAAATTTCTTCATCAGGTATATTTTTCTCTCTCAAAATAAAAGGTCTCTTCTGTTTTAATTTAATAAGATACTATCAAAAGTTGGCTTTTATTTCAAATAAAAATGATTTTTTATATTTTATTTTTCTGATACTCTTTTCTTGCTTTCAAAAAAAAATGAGAAAAGTACAGATCCATACAGTTTAATAGGGTGGGTAACCACTAACTATATGTGCTATTTAAATTTAATTAAAATTAAATAAAATTAAAAATTCATCTCAGTCAAGCAGGATGATTTTTTTAATTTTTCAGTTTTATTAGGGTATTATTGACATATATCACTGTGTAAGTTCCAGGTATGCAGTATAATAGTGTGACTTAAATATATTGTGAAATGATTACCACAATAAATTTAGTTAGCATCCATTATCTCATACAGATACAATAAAAGCAAACAAAAATTTCTTTTTTCCTTATAATGAAAACTCTTAGGATTTACTCTCAACAAGTGTGATATATATCACATGACAGTCTTAACTATAGTCACCACATTGTACTTTATTCTATATTATTTATCCTATGTTTATCCTTATTTATCCTTAATACTTATTTACCCTGTTAATTGGAAGTTTGTATGTTTTGACCACCTTACTCCAGTTCTCATTTCCTACTCCCCACCTCTGATAACCAGAAATCTGATCTCTTTGTCTATGAGTTTGTTTGATTTTAGATTCCACATATAAATGAGATCAACACAGTATTTGTCTTTTTCTGTTTGACTTTTCTCACTTAGCATAATGCCCTCAAAGTCTATCTATGTTGTCACAAATGGCAGATTTCCTTCTTTATTGGCTGAATAACTAATATTCATGTGTGTGTGTCACAGCTTATTTATCCATTCATCCATAATGGACACTAAGGTTGTTTCCATGTCATGGTCATTGTTAATAATGCTGCTATGAACATGGGAGTGCAGATATCTTTCCACATGAGTGTTTACGTTTCCTTGAGATATATTCACAGAATTAGAATTGCTGGATCATATGATAGTTCTATTTTTAATTTTTTTGAGGATCCTCCATACTCTTCTCCATAGTAGCTGTTAACTGGCCATATTTCAAGTGCCTAATAAGCACATATGGCTAGTGGCTGCCATATTGTACACAGATACTGAACATGTCCATTATTACAGAAAGTTCATTTGGTATAAATTATCATCACAATGCTGATAATTTATAGAGAATCTAAAGGTCTCCTGGTTGCTTTTTGTTTTTTCAACTTTTTAATTTGAAATGTTTTTAGATATATAGAAGAGTTCTCTGTAATTACCCCAGCTTCTCCTAATGTAAATACATTATGTAACCATGATACATTTATTAAAACTGAGAAACTAATATTGGTACAGTATCATTAACTAGTCTACAGACTTTACTCAAATTTCACCAGTTTTCCCAATATCCTTTGCTGTTGCAGTATCCAATCTAGGATACCAAGTTGCATTGAAAGCTGTGTGTTTGAATATGAACATTTCAAGTAATTAAAGATAATCCATGCCGGAGATAGACAAACTGTGGTGCTAAATATGGCTTACTGCCTATTTGTAAATTTTTTTATTGCAATGTAACAGTGATGTAAGGTTTTTATTTTTGTTTTTACTTAAAAAAGTATGTGACACAAAAATAGGAAATTCAAATTTCAGTGATCATAAATAAAGTTTTATTGAAACACAGCCATGCTTACTCATTTACATATTGTGATATGGCTGCTTTCATGCCCTACTGACAGCCTAAAAATACTGTTTAGCCCTTTACAGAAAGGTTGCCAGCCTGATCTGTGTTATCGAAGAGGTGACATTCTGGGATTAAAATTTCTAAATTTAATGGGAACTGGATGTTGTTTCTAACTTATTTATGTAAAATATAAATACATAAGAACATGGTCAGTAAATATTTGTTTGCTGAGGTTGATTGAAATATGTGTACCTTCAAAATTGTTTCAAAAACAATTGGGTGTTTAGTATGCTACCAAAGCGAGGAAGTGACGTTTCTGGGGGGTGTTAATTTGTCCCAAAATTCACACTGAAGTTTAACCTGAGAGTCCATCAGAGGGGAATATTGCTAAATTTGGGTCAAAATAGGCATGTTTGCCTTCACAACTACACCACTATTACTATATCCAAGAAAATTAACATTAATTCAATAATAGCACCCAATATGTAGTATCATCATTCCAAATATATATGCTTACATGTTTCTTTTTTTTCATTTGATCCAATATCCAATCAAGGTTCCCACATTGCTTTTGACTATTTCGTCTCTTTGGTCTCTAGTCTAAACCATCTCACCACCTTCCTTTGTTCTTCTTGACATTGAATCCTTTGAAGAATCCAGTTGTCCTGAAGAATGTCCCACATCTTAAGTTCATCTATTTCCTCAATCTTAGATTACATTCAGGTCAGACATTTATGGCATGAACATCAGATAGATGTTTTAAGGAGTATAATTCCACTGCATTATATAAGGAGACAGTCAATGACAAATCATCCCACTATTAGCTATGGAAAGCATGGCCACTCAGTTAAGGGGCTGATCATGAGATCTCTCCATTGTGGAAGTATAGTTACAGTCTTTTTTTCCCTGATAATTCTTAATTTTTTTAAGAGGTTATTTATTTTTATAGCACTTTTACATTCAGAGAAAAATTGAGAGAAATAGAAATTTCCCATATACTCGATAATCCTAAGCCGGCATACTCTCCCCATTATCAACATTCCCCACCAGAGTGGTATGGTGGTTTCAATTGATGAATCTACATGAACATATCTTATCAAAGCCCACAGTTAACATTAGGGCTAACTCTTGGTGGTGTACATTCTGTGGGTTTGAACAAATGTCTAATGACATGTATCTAAGATTATAGTGTCATATACAGAGTGTTGTCATTGTCTTGAAATTCCTCTGTACTTGGCCTATTCATCCTTCCCTCCCCCCTAAGTTTTTTAGAGATAAGTTTTTATGCAACTCCTAGGCCATTAACCTATTCAAATTCCAATACTTATATTAAAGCCACAAGTATTCTATAACTACTAAAAAATGAAATATTAAAACTAAATATAAAAAAATTTTCTTTGATTATTCCTTTTTTATAGTGATCTTTATAAGATAAAAGGAATGATATGTCACTGGACTGGAAGTAAGCAGGGAGACATTTTTTAATCTAAAATATTTTTGGATATATCAGGGACCTCAGAATTTTCAGTTTTTCTAATTATTTATCTTATGGGTAACTATTAGCAGTTATGATTATCTTTTACATTATAGGTATTGTCAACATGGACTCGCCATATGGTTCTGTAACACCTTCTTCTACACATTTGGGAAACTTTGCCTCAAATCTTTCAGGAGGTCAAATGTATGGACCTGGGGCACCCCTTGGAGGAGCACCCACAGCTGCTAACTTTAACAGACAGCATTTTTCCCCACTTAGTTTGTTGACTCCATGTTCATCAGCATCAAATGGTGAGTATTATACACTGTAATTCCATAGGAGGAATGTCTATGTATGTTTCCTTAAAAGCAAAAGGTTTTAAGTTTTTCAAAGTTTGAAATTTTTTAACATTTAAAAATCATAATATGATAGATAAAAATATAATTTGTATTCATGGCAATCTGTGAAATCAGGAAGAATTACAGTAATATTTCCAAATCTTTAAATTACTAGAATCAACATCATTTAAATTACTAGAATCAAACCTAGAATATTATATTGAAATTATTTATTTCTAATTTTTTGAGAAATAATTCATCTTGTTATACCATCTATACATTGACTTTTAGTTTTATTTGAGAATTCACTTATCAAAGAGAAAGATTTCTAGCTTAAAAAAATAAATATCAGGTGCTTTTTGTCCACTTTTAAATCTCAAGTACTACATAAACAGCACAGCTGATTTCACATTATCCATTATTAGATGTATGTTGTTAACTCTGCTCAGATTTTTGGAGCAGTGCTTAGATTTTCAAACTAGGGAAGATCAGTCATCAATAGGGAATTCAACTCACATCACAAAAATTCTATAGTAAGATGATTTGGGTTTTAATTAAACTACCAAATCTCTCCTTACTAGCAATGCAAGAACCCAGGTGATAGAGCCTGTTCAACTGAATGAAAGAGTAAAAAACTTTTAAATATTTGAGAAATACATATCAAAGTACACCACTTACAGTATGAAGTAGTGGTTTATAGTGAATCTGCATATTGCGTAGTTTTTCTTGTATTTGTCAAATAACAAGGAGCAGGAGCATCATATAGAAAGGATATTATTCTTTCACAAGAGTCCCTAAGAGAAGAAGTAGGTTTTAAAAGACTGTAGCAGTTCTCATTGAAGATATTTTACCTATCTTTGAAAAAGGTTAAGAAAATTTCTTAACAATTATAATTGAGATAAAGTGAATAGTTTAATAATGTTACTTAGCCTGATTTATTTAAACATAAGCCATTAAATAGAATAGTTAAACTAAATGTAGCTCTAAGGAATAAGTGGTTGTTAAATTTTAGTCTTTAACTCTGGCTGGTAATAAGGTTATAACATCAGTTACTTAAAGCTGTATTCAGTACAGCATTCCTCAAGTTACTAGAGGAATATGTTTTTTGTTTTGGGGTTTTGTTTATTATAAGGAAGACTGACAGGTATATATTGAAGAATTGGAAGGTAGTTCACTCTGTATTAATGATTGGTACTTTTTCCTAACTAGGGGTGCCTTCCTTCAGGGATATGACTTTGAAGAGACTTAAAGGGCAGAGTACAACAATTAAAGACAAAAAGAGCCGACAAGAAAATTAAAATAGTGAGGATTACCAATGTACTTCTTTTGTAATATAGCTAATAACTATGTTAAACTAACAACAACAGTTAATTTATTGAGTTTAGGTACTTTTCAAGTTAATTTCACCCCAAACTGCCTTTGTAGGCAAAACCCTAATATAAGCATTTATGTGAGCTTAGACAGGTCACTTCAGGGAACCTCAATTTTCTGATCTGTTAATATCTACCACACTGGATTAGTGTAATAAGTTAATTGGATTATGTATCTGTTATCTACTATTACTTCTGGTCTGTTTCTTTTTTTGATGATAAGTATGAGGATGGTTATAATGATAGTAAGTGTTAATCCTGTTTTCTAATAGTTTTATGAATGTACCACTATATAGTAAAATCTGGAAAAAGAACAAAGTAAAGATTATTTAAGAGCTATAGGTAGTTATTGAATATATTCAAGACTAATGAAGTTGGAACAGTAGAGCAAACATTTTTATAAATAGCCAATGATTAAAATGTTGGAATACATTATAATTTTCTGATTTTAGCTGCTTAGTTTTTTTTCAGACTCCTTTTAAAATTAGTTTTAATCTCTAAATATATAACAGATCTGGATCAGTGTCCTCTAAGTATGTTGAGCTGAAAAATAAACCATAAGAATAAACATCTCCCTTAAAATGTCTACCCCTGGGTTATTCATATTCACCTATTTATATATAAAATAAGGATAGCTTTTTATTTTCATATTCATAAAAAATAGACATTGGGGAAAGAGAAGGAAAAATTGCAACACGACGGTCATTGAAATGTGTTACCTGAAATTTTTTGGTTATCTTTAAAATAGGATTCTGAGAAGCAGAGAATGTTTTTAAGTACACTAGAAACATTTATTGGTATTAATGTTTATTACAATTGCTTTTATTGGTACATTCCAGCAACTTTTTTGTTTCAAAAAATTTTAGGCTTACAGAAAAGTTGAAACAATACTTCTAGAAACATCTATATTCCTTTCAATTGGTAATGACTTAAATTTACCAATTTCTTTTTAAACATTTTGTTCCATTTTACTTTATCTCTCTGCTTTTTGTTGTTGAAACATTAGATTCATAAGTGATACTTCAAACATAAAAACTTCAGTCTGCAACTGAAAAATAAGGATGCTTTCTTACATAACCAGAATATCATTATCAAATACTAATATGTTAACATTAATTTAGTAGTAATATCTGATATGCAGTGCCTCTTCAAGTACTCCCAATTGTCCTAACTTTTTTGGGGGATTTTTTTTCCCCTTTGAGCCATGAACACCTCAAGGTAAACAGGTTGCATTTGTGTATGTCTCTCACATCTAACTTTTTTAAAAAGTAAGTTTAAACTTGTAAGAATAGCACAAAGAACCCTTGTATATTTTTCCCAGATTCACCAATTGTTAATATGTTGCTACACTCCTCCTTCTCTGCCATGTATCCCTCTGTCTGTGTGTGTGTGTATGATATTTTTCCTGCTCCATTCTAGAGTTAGTTGCAGATATCAAATTTTCCTCTAAATACTCCAGATTAAAATGTTTCCTAAGAACAAAACACTGTCTTCCACAACTGCAGTGCAGTTATGAAATTCAGCAAATATTACACTGACAAAATATTATATATAGTCCATATTCACATTTCACCAGTTGTCTGAATTAATGCCTCTATTATTTCCTCTCCTCCAAGATTCAAGTCAGGATCACAAACTGTGTTTAGTTCCAATGTCTTTTTAGTCTCAAATAATCTGAAACTCTTCCTTTAGCCTTTGTCTTTCAAAGACTCTTTTAAGATTACAGGTCAGTTGTTTGGTAAAACACCCCTTAATTTGTTTTTCTGGTATTTTTTTGTGATTAAATTTATATTTTGTATTTTTTATGGGAATTCTAGTATACAGTCAGTGTTGTATCCTCAGTGCATTAAATTAGAAGGTATAAAATGGCAGTTTGTACCATTTTGGTGATGTTAATCACTTGGTTAAGATTGTGTATGCCAGATTTCTATACTGTCAAATTATCATTTTTTCCTTTGTACTTAATAAGTAATCTGTGGATAGTTACTTTGAGACTGTGATCTTATTCCTCATTAGACTTTCAGGCAGAGTTTAAGGGAAATAAGAGAAGAAGTAGCACTTGTCTTAGTATAAATAAGTTTGATTTTTGTAACCATGTTAATTTAATGTTCATAAATTTTTAAATCAACTTTGGTGAAGGAAAAAAACACTAAAATTGAATATAAATAGAAACAAACCTTTGTGTATTGCAAATTATTAACATAAATCTACTTTTTATACCCTTCAGTCTAAAGACAGACTTTAGACAAATCTTCAGTTCTACTTATGACACTTACTTTTTATAGTTTATGGATAAGCAACTTTAAAACTATATGTGATTTATTATAAGATTGAACAAATTAATAAATAAGTATTTCGACAGTGTTATAACCCAAGTTCTTACTGTGAGAAAAGAGAAAATGTGGGAATGGATAAGGCAAGGAAGAACTCTGTAGAATTAGGGAATCAATTTGAACTCATGATTTTTTAAAATATGTATGTACAGGATTGCATCATATGAAATTGCCATTTTTCCTCCAGTTCTATCTACTGAGAGGGCCTTGAAGCAATCAATCTTCAGCAGCAGTGAGCACATATAGTATCCAGATCTGTCTATTAAATTTTTTGTCCACTAAAACAATCTAGGGTTTCTTGGGGAAATAGCTGATTTGTGAGTTGGGGGCAAGGAGAATACAAGGGGAACCTGCAAAGTCTTATAATGTCAAAAAGCAATTAGGTGCTCAAAATGATGGGACCTGTTCAGGACATAGGAGGCAGCTTCAAAGGGCTCACACCGGCCAAATTCAAAAGAATTTGACCACCAAAATGAATAATGGCACCTCGTTGGATAAAACAAGAATCCATGAGTTTACAGTGATTATAAATAACATTTTTAAATGCAAGGAAAGGAAACTTCCTTGTAATAAAATGACAACACATAAATTTTGAAGGAATTAAAATTAGAGCCATCATTTTGCACCTGTTAGAGTGATTGATTCAGGCAACTGACCTCAGACCTTTACCTCTAATACTGAATTTTTAACTAGTTTGTATTTTCCTCACCTAATATAAGTCTTAATACTGTTACTTTTAAGGAACATTTAGTTGGTTTTGTCTGAGTTCCAACTCTTGGTTAGGTAATCTGTTCACATGAAACTATTTTTTTTTGTTTATGGTAGTCTTTTAAAATTTTATTTTCAGTATTTATTTATATATTTTTCTTAAAGGCTGCCTTCCAGATGCTGTAGTAGAACCACAGAAGCTTTACTTATTTTTCATAATATATATATATGGTTTATTTGAACAGGTTCTATCATGTTTCTCCATACACTCCAGTNTGGGAGACAAGGACCCTGCCTTTACAGAAAATAAAAGAAAACAAAAACCCTTTCTTGAGGCCCCAGAATAACATTGGTGATGCCCAAGAACCTTCTGTATGTAGCCTAGGCAGCGATCACCTGAGCATTGTCCCACTCAAATTGGTAAAATCTATCCTATCAATATTCAGTCAGTCCTGCGTTGATTACTGGTCACTGGCTCTGGTCTGTAAGTTTCAGTCTTTGACAAATTTAGTCAATGGGCCGTTTTGACATTCAGTCTTATAAAACTGTTATCAGTTCAAAAAGCATTAACAGTTTGAAAGAAAGGAACTAATTTTAAATCAAAATAATGTATTTACAAAACAGTACCCTTACAATGTGTGTTGCATGCTGGTATTTTTTGTTTTCTTTAAACTTTAAAAAAAGTTTTGTGCTAGTCATGACCAATTACATTCATCTTATGATCTGTAGTTTAATAAACACTGAATTTAAGCATGAAGAAAGTACAGTATAATTTTCCTGCAGGAAATTTTATTTTTGATTTGTAAGTCACACTGTTCCTTGAATTTGAATCCAGAACTCTTGTCATTTCAAAAATGACGTGGGTTTACCTTGAAGCTTAAGCTTGACATACCTCATTGCAAGAGGTCCTCCCAAGGTCCTATACCTAATTTTTGTATTTGTAATTTTGTATTCTTTTCTAAAGTTCCCAAGGTGATATAAGATCCAACAGAACTTCTAAATCTGTTATTTCTCCAATATATATGATACATTATTTTAAAATAACATAGCTCTGAATTAAACTTTTTGTTTTTTTCTAATTAAAGAAATTATAAGTAGACATGAGAAATTATAATAATTAGGCTTTTTTTGTGGCAAAGAATATAGGCCTACCCAAGGAATCTCAAAGAACATGGTATTTATTTTTAGGCTATGCAGAGCCATCTTCAGAACAATCCAGGATTTGAGACAGCTATTCTCTCCATCTCTCTAGAGGATTTATGGTCTCTCAATTCATGGTGTTTCTTATGAGGCTCTTATATTTACTCTCTACACTTAGGCTTCTTCATAATCTCATCTTGAATATGGTCCTTAAAGATTCAATTCATAGTTAATTAAACCAGTTTTTCTCTGATGATCAGTTACACCTTCTTGAATGAGGAATATGATTGGCCCAGCTCGTATGTTCAGGTTAGGCCATGTCAGTCATAGATTGCTGGCTCACCTGAGATGGATCACTCTTTGGTCAGATGCCTGTCGTTAGTCCAGCAAGCCTTCAAGAAGGAGAGGAAAACAGTCATCTGATAAAAACTATGGCTAGTGAGGTTGGCAGAATCTGTGAAAAGGGCAAGTCTTTTAAATGGGGCACATTAGCAGGCAGGCCTGTTTATTCGGTTCATTAAAAAAACGTGAAGGGTTGCTGTTATTTTGCTTTGCTTTTGTTTTTTGAAGGAAACAAGTAAGAAAAGATAAACTAGATCTAACACAGAGGTTAGGGCAGGTTCTCAGAGACGAGTGTGGGGGAAGGTAGGATTCATTTATTTTTCTGTCCTGCCACACCACTAAAACTATGTCTTGGTGTTGGTTGTTTTGGGTTGATTCTCAGGTATGTAATTGTGCTCTTTAAGTACTTAGTTTAAAAAACAAAAAAAATTTTAATCCCTCATGTTTTCCCCTTCGTGTGTTCTTTGTAGTTCAGTTTAGTCTTTTCTGTAATAATCTTTCATTTCTAACACTTCAGTTTCATTATCTCATTACCAGTTTTACTAATTCTGAAGTATGCTGTTCTTTCATGTCTTACCATCATTTCTTTTAGCTCACTTTGGAATTATAGGCTGTAGTTTCTTTCTATAGTTTCTGCCTTTGGAGTATTAGGGTATACCTTTCTTTCTAGCATGCTTTTATTGTCTACAAGATGTTTTGGGTCTGTATCTCTTTTAGTTCACATAATGGAATTCGACTGTGTGGTTTTTTTTCATATTTTTGTTCCCCAATAATATCAATATCCATATAAGTTTTTTAAGTATTTTCACATTCATTCTTTATGTTAATAGTCAGTACAACTCACTAGTAGGTGGTTTAGCCAAAAAACACTTCTGCAAACACTGGTATGATGTAATTGGTCTCCACAGTATTTTCCAATTCCAAATTTGTAAGATACCTGAATCCCGTTTTTTTTCCCCCTGTCATAACATATCAAAGGACGAGTGTTCCCTAAGAATACAGTTTGGGAATTGCTAATACAGGCATGTTTTTCCCCACCTATGTTTTGTTGTTCGTTTAATTAAAACATTGTCTTCTCATTGCTTTGTTGTTATACTTTACTCAGTATCAAGGGTTAATTCATTTAAATATTAATTGGTTTAATGGTTTATTATATGTGTAATTACAGCTTTCATATCTTAACATTCTACCACATAACTAAATGGGAAAACTGTAAGCCAAATTAAAAAATGACTGAAATAGAACTTTAACGAAATTAATATGCATAGTTTATTATTGAGCATTTTTCTCATATTTAATTTTTCCTCAGAGTGCATATTTTAAGTATCTTCAGAATTTAAGGTTTGATTTTATAAAATTATATGCTCTATGGATGACGTGTATACTATTTCAAAATATTTTTTCTCTAGATTCTCCCACACAGTCAGTATCCTCAGGAGTTCATGCACCTTCTCCTACCCCATCATCAGTACCTTTAGGGTCAGAAAAGCCCAGCAATGTCTCTCAGGACAGGAAAGTTCCAGTCCCTATTGGGACTGAACGTTCTGCACGTATCAGGCAAACTGGAACTTCAGCTCCATCTGTTATTGGAAGTAACTTGTCCACATCAGTAGGGCATAGTGGCATCTGGTCCTTTGAAGGGATTGGTGGCAATCAAGGTATGATGTACTATCCTGCTTACTAGAAATTGTTTCTGTATTTAACTAAAATATTGTAAGAGTATTTAACTTTCATAGTCATTGTTAAAAGATCTGTATTCATATCTGTTTTGATAATCTTTTAAGAGTTCAGAACATTTTTGTTCCCATGTGATACTCCATTTCATTCACATTGATAAATATGAATTTATCATTGCTTTTTGAAAGTAGTCATAAGCATATTCTTTTCTTAATTTCATCAAATTAAAGAGATGCTAATAATTTCCTTCTCTTCAGCTTTTATCTTAGCTTATTTTCTCTGTGTAACAAAGTGTTTAGTTTATTAGGTTATTAGATCACTAGGTACAAACTTGGAAATACTGCATTAAATATATATAAAAGTAGATCATTATTCTAAAGGTATTCACAATGTAATGTGGAAAGTATTGAATAGAAATATATGAAATACTTTGTTTTTGTCTTCTGATTTTAAATTATCACCAACTATTTTTTTCTGACTCTTTCATTTTCCCTCAGACAAAGTAGATTGGTGTAACCCTGGGATGGGAAATCCTATGATTCATAGGCCAATGTCTGATCCAGGAGTGTTTTCACAGCATCAAGCAATGGAGCGAGAGAGTACAGGAATTGTAACTCCTTCTGGTACATTCCATCAGCATGTTCCTGCAGGATACATGGACTTTCCTAAAGTTGGGGTAATGGTGATTTAAATAAGCATTTTCATTATTTCTAAATGTTTTCTTATTATTAACCTGATCTCTTTACAAGTGGATAAGTGTTTGTGAAATGATGGTAAGGCTCTGCCTGCAATTATAGCTCAAAATCTGGCTAAAATATAAATCTTTATAAGTTCTGCTTTTGTGTCCATCATTTAGAGATGTGTTTTTTGATTAAATAATTTAAGCTTATGTATGATATAAAGCCAGAAGAAATCATATCATGGAAAATAATTTTTTAGATTACCTAGATAATTTACACTTCCAAAATGAGGTAAAGTTTCAAATACCATTTTAAGGCTGTGGATTATATTTGGGAAAGTAAGCAGTGACTTGAATGTACATGCATAACCTTTCCTTTCTCCTTTTTTCTAAGGGTATGCCTTTTTCTGTATATGGGAATGCAATGATTCCTCCAGTAGCACCTATTCCTGATGGTGCCGGAGGACCCATATTTAATGGCCCTCATGCTGCGGACCCCTCTTGGAACTCCCTGATAAAGATGGTTTCAAGCTCCACAGAAAATAATGGCCCTCAAACGGTAAGGCTGATTATTCAGTGAACTTTTATGTAGTGTTAATGAGATGCCAAAATAGACAAGACACAGGTAAATCATGGTAGTGAGAGAGTATGGTGAATGTGAGCAGTTGAGAAAATTTAAGGGGAATTTAATAAAGCTAAAATATAGCAGAGGGATGTGGAAAATGGTACCAAAGCTAGTGATTTGGGCTAAAATTATGAAAGGCATAATACATTCCATAGAGTAGCAGATGATTACTAAAAGATTTTAAGTTGCAAAGAGTTGTAATTTATACATCAGAATTTATTGCTGGTGTGCAAGGGGCCATTTACCATTTAGTACTTTTATTGAAAGTATTATAAATGTCAAAACAGCATATAATTATAACTGAAAATGCACAGACATGGTTGTTTATTTTAACTTATTTTGGTGTATGTTGAATATCTTTGCTTCATTTTCCTTCCACAAACATCAATCTGTATGTACTCTGGTAATGGTTTTAAAAAATGTTGATAAATCAGATCTTGTTTGAGGAATTAGAGAAGAGGCAGGAAAACTACAAGTAAAAATGGCTTATTGTTGCTTTTCTTCATTGTTTCTGAGTATGTTGCAAAATGAATGAGATTTAGCTGTTTTTTAGTCCATAGATATTAACAGCACTTCCTAGTTTTTAAGAGTCTTGTTTAACCAACTATATGTTGAATATGTAATATTTAATACAATGCATGCTCTATATTCCTAGGTGTGGACTGGACCTTGGGCACCTCACATGAACAGTGTGCATATGAACCAGCTTGGCTGATGAGGAGCATCTTGTTAGCCTGCAGATTCCTTTTCATTCAGAGGAAATCACAAGTGGCCGGAAAAAAAATTTATGCTCCCAAATCATTCTACTGATGTGCTTGACTGAAGTGTGTAGGCTTTTTGCAGAAGAACTTACTAACTGACCTATTTTCTGTGAACATTTGTGACTGCTCATCCCCCATCATCATCTGTTTTACCTTAGTTAGCATTTTTCTTATCATTTTTCTTTTTTTTTCTTTTCCTCTTCCCCTTTGGACATAACTTTCTGTTGAAGCTGTTCTTTGGCTGGTTGGTTTTAGTACTGTAAACTGCTTCTGAGCAAACACGGAAATTTAGCAAAATTATGTAAACTTGATCCTGAAGTTTTAGAATGGCAAATAAATGTACAATTGTTTACATAACAGAAAAGGCTAAGCAGAAAGTAAATTTCAATATGTCAGTATAGAGGCTCTACTTTACGTAGACTTAAATTAATGTGAGATATGTACGTTCATATTCAGAAATCTGGATGTTTTCCTTCATACATTAAACTATTAATAAGCATAATAACTTTTCTGCTTGTGTAATTTAAGTATAACGTGAAAGAATGGGCATTATCAGTGGGGGTTTCCCAGCGTTGGCTTTTAAAATACCCATCCGGCTCTCTTTTGAGTTTGTTTGCAGCAAGGCACATATAGAAGAGAAATTTATCACTTTTCCATGTCTTTTTATTACCTTCTCACACTTCTAAAACTAATACACTCTTCTGTCTTCACCCTTTCTTCTCTCCTCACCTTTACCACTAATACCGGTAAAATTCTCTAGCTGATCGTGAAATAATTTTGTAAAGATTTTTACTGTAATGGTTGCTACAGAGTTAAAGCACATTCATCATCACCTGTGGTTTCTTGTAACCATAAAATGTTTAGTCTTTCTGAAAATTTAAAAAGCCACCACTGGCTCCCAGTCAGCATATACAAGCTCTTATTATACTGTTTATCATTTAACAATTCAATGTACTATTTTATATTGGATAATATTGATTCTTAACATTGGCTTTCCAGTCTTCAAGAGTCAACATAAAAATTCCAATTTTCAGTAATTTAGTGGAAAGTATCTTTTTTCTTTTTTTCCCCCCAATTTTAAAGACTTCTTGTTCTCTATATTTGCATATTATCAGTGAAAGGGATCAACAGCTAACTTGGGGCAGTAATAAAATTTTGCATTTGTCATTAAGACAATTTATGGTGGACATGAACTTAGATTACAGAATGAAGTCTCCATTTAACCTGTTTGTAAGATACAGGGCCACACTAACTACTCAGTGGGACTTATCTATTCCATTCACTTTAAATAATAAACAGAAACATATCCAAGAAGAATATGTGTCTTATCCTGTCTCATATGGAAAAAATTAATTATATGGTTGAAATGTAAAAGGAAGTAAGCATATAGTAAAGTAATGTATCAACCTTTTTTTATTAGAAATTCCACAGTAGTGAAATATAAACATCAACTAAAATTTAGATAAACCCAGAGTTGACAATATTAATATGGTTCCTTGGCTGTTCAAGTAAATGAAATGATTTCTTTACTCTCATAGCCTGAGTAAAGAATAAGTTTGTCAAACATTTCCAGATGTTTTTAAGTAACACACTTACATCTTTTAATTTAGGAAGTGGTCTTAAATATAAATTTGGTTTTCTACCTGTTTATGAAATAAAACTGTAGCACTTTATTAAGAAAGGACTGTAATGCTATTTAACAGAGTATTTTATATATAACTTTTGCTACTCTCCTATAATTTTTTGCTCAATTTCTTTCCTGTGTTAACTAGGGTTATTTCTAATTAAAATAATCCTGCTAGATAACAGGTACTACCCAGTAGTTACTACTACAATACATGAGTTGTGTTAATTCACAAAAGCAAATTTCGTAAGATAACAGCATCTTACTAAAAAAGAGGAGAAAAAACTCTTATTTTCTTGACTTTAAAACTATGAGACGGGGGAATGTAGATTAGAATGCTCCATAGGTAGTTTTGAGAATCGGCTTGTCAATTACAATACCATAGTTTTAGAATTCTGTAGGACAAACGTTTTTCAAATACACTTTCATATTTCAGATGTAATTAATGCATTTTTAGTCAAATTTTTAAAAAACAATCTTTTGAAAGACTATGGTCTTTCAAAAGACCATAATTTTTTGAAAGTATATGGTATATGTGATTGCAGACTACATAATGTATTTCTTTTCTCTCAAATTCTCTAAAAAAGTGACAACTCTTGGAAAAAACACTTTGGTTAGTTAACACCTTAAATCCCAAAATAGTACATTTTCAATTATTATGTCGTCTGTTTATACCAACTATTCTATTTTAGAGATGATTTCATTTACTAGGGTTACCAGCATCCCCATTTCATGTCCTTTCAATATATATTTCAACATATACCAACATATTCACAAAAACTGATTTTAGTATTCATGTGAAGGATATTTTCCCCTTCTGTTTCCTGTTCAGTAATTGAAAATTATTTTTTTGGGTAAACTGATCTTACACAGTCATTTTTCTCAGGAAAAAAGTGGGGGATGATTAGTTTACTGATACTAATGATTCCATCTTTTTTTACTCAAATGACCTAAACACACATTTCATAAAAATTACTTTACACACTATATTCACATTATTTTAAAAACAATGCAGAGTATTAGGCTAAACAGGGAAGCTCAAAATCACAAAACCTCTTCAGATCCTCTGATTTATTCAATCTATTTTTGATGTTTTTCAGAAACACTCTCATTCCCACAGATCTGGCATTACAGACATTTAAAGCCTGCCAAACTTTCTTTGAAATAACAGGTTTTTAATCAGAATTATTTTTAAGTGATTATAATATCAAAGGAAAACCAATTTTTTAATGACTATTACAGAGATTCAGTATTCCATTCGATGTATTTTTACTTAAGATAAGTGAATATCCAGATGTGTTTTAAAATTAATGTTCGGCATACTTAAATTATACTTTATAAATCTGGATGTTCTTAAATCTCTGGAAATAATAAGTATCCCCTGTTTTAGTACCTGTTTTTGCTAACTGAAAGAAATCTGGAGAGGTTTTTCACTTTTATGAAAGAAGCCATTACCATACTAATGTAGATCTGTTAGAGAAGCAAACTTTCAGGAAGCAAGGTATTAATACTCTTCACTTTAAACCATTTGGCTTATGAAAGGTTTCACAGGACTGCTCTGCTTTTGGATAGGGAAACCTGTGTACAGTGAATTGATAAATGCTTCAGTCACAACGCTTAATTGATGGTGTCACTTGAGTTAACTGGTTAATTTGAGGTGGCTAGGATTAAGGATGAGAGTATCATTAGCACCTTAGTATGATCTATGTTACACACCTTGACTGCAAAAAGACCATCACTTATGTTTTGGGTAAGTAAATATTGAGAAAAATGTGCCACTGTGGCTTTTAACTAAATAACTCCTTTATAACAACTGGCATAGAAGACTAACTGATATGTTATAAGAGGTTTCATATTAGACTCCTACTTTAAAATGAATTCATGCTTTTGAATGGTAAAAGCCAATTTTACATGCTCAATACTTAAGGACCGACCAATAATAAATGATACAAGAGGATCTTTTTCAACAAAGAAAAAGTAATTCTACTTTAAATAGCTTTGGTCTTGAAAAATAATGCCTTAAATTAGAAAACTGTCGATTCCAAGGGATCACTTTAACAATTGCTTGTGAGAGTAATTTTCTTTTTAAAGGTCCTTTTGTCCAACATTTCAGAAGGCATATTTAGAAAATGAGAAATTTAAATGACTGTTCATATATACAGGTTATAATGTATAAATAGGCCGTATTCAGATTATGAGCTCCATTCCTGGGTTCACTGTGATGAATAAGAATTTCAGAAACTGCAGGGGGAAAAAAAGTAGTTTTTGTATTTAAGGAGCTTAAAGTTTAAAAAATTAGCTGTGTGACAGAACAGGAATGGGCTAATTATAAATTTGGTCTTCTAAAAGTTCTAATACGGTGTGTAAGTTCATTTGTGAAATGTTAGGGTTGATGTGATTTCAGTTGGTTTGCTCAATATTTGTATGGTCATTTTTTACTGTATTCTGCAACTCAAAAGATTACAAGGTATCAGAGTTTTGGTTAGCCAGCATGTACTTAAACATTAGTGCTAACACTACTTTTGTATTGGACTTTAAAATTAAATACTTCCATTAACATTCTCTACCAAGTAGATAGCAAGTATTGATCCTCTGCATTATATGTATTAAGAAATTTGTTTATATATGAGAAATTAACAAGTTGAATACTCATAAATTTTATTTAGATCAAAATATTCAAACTTAAAAGTGAAAGAGTTTATGTGATTTCAATATGTAGCAGATCAAGTGGACCTATGGTGTCTGAAAAAGTCCCAGTCCTGACCCCATCATACAGCTCCACAGAAAGAAGTCTTAGGGATCTGAGGAGTAGTTTGAAAACTTAACATAGATTATATGAACAGTGAATACATAAACATGGATTTTTCTTTTTGGGATTTTTTTCAATTGACTCTCTCCTACATATTGAAAGGGGAGAGTCTCTAGGTCCAAATGCCACTGTGGATGACTCTCATAATGTCATCAGTTCTCTAGAAGAATGATGCAACAGCACTGAAGTCGCTTTTTTATTCCCACAATCTTTAGACGAAGATATTTCCACTTAAAATTCATTTCCACCTTAAATCAGTAGTCAGCAACCTGTCACTTTTTTAACTTAAATTACTTTTAAGAGGGAAAAATGCATAGGAAAACAGATGGGTAAGCTTTTTCTTTTAAAAGTAATGTATATAGCATACGTTGGGATGTGTGTGTTTAAGCACATTTAAAAATTCATGTATGGACTTCTCAGATGTCAATTTTAAGGTAGATGACTTCCAGAATCAGTGAAAAAGACTATTCTGGCTCCCTGGGGTAGGTACGTAATGAAACAAGAATAGCAGCTGCAGTTGACAGTGCCCCAACTTTTGTCACAGTCTTTTTTCTAATCAGCATTTTACTCCACGCAACACCATTTGGCCTTTAGGTCTAGGGGTGACCTTTCTGTGAAGAAATTACCTCATTCCAGTTGCTGTTACCAGAAACACAAAAGTGAAGACTAGTTCCATAGACATGGACCATTCCTTTTAACCAGAAGACACCTAAAGCTACTGTTAAGGCTCTAGTAAAAGAATTCACGGGGTTTCCAGTGTTAATTACTCCTAAGTCAGGAGATGATACTTTACCCCTAATAGATCTGGTATTTTCTAAAGTTTTGGGTCAAATATTGAAGGAAAGTCAGTTTGCACGTAGGGTAAAAACGCTAACTGGAAGAAATGAGCCACTCAGATCTTTATTCCACAAACTGAAGTATGCCTCAAGCATAAAAACTTGACGGCTGGAAACATGCCTCCAAGCTGGCATTTCAGCAACGTGACGACTCTTTAGCAGTATAACAAGTCTCAGTCTCTAGCGGAGGCGATCAGGGCGCACGTAAAGAGATGGGAGACTACCCTTTGGTC